AACTTCTCAAAAAACAATACATCAACTTTGTAATATATAAATTAATTAAGTATCTTATAATATTTTTTTTCCATAATCAAAATTTCTAAATTCATCTCAACGAATTCACCTTTTTCGATAGTTTATTTTTCTTCTTAATTCTTATAACTTGAAAAGTTTATTTATTACTATTAACAACCATTACTACTTTTAATGAAGGCATTTATATCTAATATTTCAAATCCCTACTTTTTTTGCGCCAACAAAATTCTCAACTTTTCTGTTCTAATCCAAGGATATGTGACTCATTTCCATCTAACACTTGACTTATCCACTCAATTTACACGCATCAACTTTATCACATACTATAAATTAATGTATTCTTTATACCCATATTTATAATGTAGTCTATTAATACAAATTTTCCTTATAAAAAAATTGGATTTATTTCAAGAAGTTCAACTTTTAGCTGGTTTATTAGTAACTTTTAAAGAAGGCATAATTAATTTAAATAAAAAAAAATCTTATCTATCTATTTATAGTTAAAAAAAAAAATCCAAATCCTACGAAAATTATGGTTTCAAATCGAATTAGTTTCTTTGCGCCAAACCAAAATTCCCTATTTTTCCGTTTTACGCAAAGGGTATATTAGTCATTTCGTTTGTACACTTGACTTATCCACTTAAATACGGCGCCGTATCATTCGGAAATATGACAGCTGGCCAAAGAAGCGAAAAACAACTTCTATTGTAGTTTCTTCTTCTATGCCGCAATTCACAATTTCACTTTCATCATCATTTCTTTCTCTCTGAAAATCGATTATTAAAAAATCGCTTCTGAGTAATTTACAAATCAGCTTCAACAATGGTTCAGCTTATGAGATCTGATTCTGATAATCACTTCATCAAAAAGGTTAAACTGGAGTCTCAACAACAAGAGGACGATGATGTTCGTTCTCTACCACATAAACGACCTAGATTTGATTTCAATTTAGATTCTTCTCCCAAGGTTTGGTTTGGTTTTGTTTTTCCTTTTTGTATGTGTTGTTTTTGTTTGTTATGTTTATTACTACTTTCGATTCTGACTCTAAATTTGTGTTTTTTGTTTTTGGTTTTTTTGGAACAGTGTGATTTAAGCGACGATTCGGCTCCGATTTCACCGGGTTTGTACAATCCTTTGAATGAACCTAGCCCTCTTGGTTTGCGTTTGAAGAAAAGTCCTTCACTTTTGGATTTGATTCAGATGAGGCTTTCTGAACAACATGATTCTAAGAAGAAAGATCAGAAGGCTTCTGCTGCAGCAGCTGCTGCTGATTCTAAGCTCAAGGCTTCTAATTTTCCCGCTACTGTTTTAAAAATTGGAACTTGGGAGGTATGATACTAAAAATCATAGCTTTTTGTTTTGTTGGTAGAAATAAATAAGAATAAAAAAATGATGGTGATGATGATGCTGTGATTGTTGTTATGTATGGTGATGTTGCAGTATAAATCTAGATATGAAGGAGATTTGGTGGCAAAGTGTTACTTTGCAAAGCATAAGCTTGTTTGGGAAGTTCTTGATGGTTGTCTTAAGAATAAGATTGAGATTCCTTGGTCTGATATCATGGCTCTTAAGGCTAACTACCCTGAGGATGCACCAGGGACACTGGAAGTTGTTGTAAGTATTTTTTTTTTTTTTTAGTTTTAGAAAACAAGTTTCTGGTGTTACTGTTTAGTAGATTTTGGATCACAATTATGTGTCATGCTAAGTTGTTGATTTTGTATGTTGTAGCTTTTAAGGAGGCCTTTGTTTTTTAGGGAGATCAATCCACAGCCAAGGAAGCATACTTTGTGGCAAGCAACATCAGACTTCACAGGTGGACAAGCCAGCATCCATAGGTATAAAAATTGAGTCTAATAGCATATAATATAAGTGCAAATCAGTGTTGTGTTATTGATGCCGGATAGTGAAAAGCCGAAAAACGTGCCATATAAAGTTGCCATATCCGTGGTAAAATTACACTATTTGCCACATCGCCACCTTCCTTCGCAAATCGGCTATGCACAGTGATATAGTTCTGTTGTAAAATGGTGCTATCTGCCACAGCTGCGTTTTCCTTCACAACTCGGCCATGATACCCCAATTCATTGGGTCGTTGCTATGGCTAATATTTGACAACATTGGTGTAAATTAGTTCTACTTGCATCCAACATCCAGCCCTATATCTTTCCATGTCATAACACTAATTAATTTTAGAAGGCATTTACGGAAAGTGAGTTATGTAGCAAAATAGTAGATTTGTATCGAATGTCGTTGTAAAACTAGTTTTTTACACACCCACAATGTAAATTAGGTATCCCCGTGCCTTTTCTTGTTGGTGAAGGCTTGAGACCTCTGCGTGTGCTCTTCTCGAGGTGTCGGGTTGGTATCTCATTGGTGCTAACAACATTTGTGTTGGGCCAATCCAACTAGAGCTTTGCTTGGCTTCAATTGCCCCCCTCGCAAGTGGACGGTGGTGAGATTGGTCCTCCGGAGTAGTGAGCAGATACTCAGTTTCCAATTAAAAAAATGTAAATTAGGATTATACTACATGCATATCCTTTAATCCTTAAATATTTGTGACAATTATCTTTCATCTTAAGTTCTTATATTTTTGAGTTTTCTTATGGTACTAAGGTGGTTTTGTTCTGATTTTTTAATGATGTTATTCTCTATGTTGTTGTTATAGGCGACACTTTATGCAATGCCCCCAAGGTTTGTTAGGGAGGCATTTTGAGAAGCTCATACAGTGTGATCCCCGTCTCAATATTCTCAGCCAACAGCAGGATTTTGTGTTGGAGTCTCCTTATTTTGAGCCTGGAACTGCAATTCACGACCACATTGAATCCAGTGACGGTTTTGATAGAAAAAGTGAAGGGCAAGCTGGGATTTTTGGATTGCAGCAGGATGTGGAATCGGGATCTGCAGGTCAATCATCTTCCTCCAGAAGTGAACATAATCTTATGGGCAAAGCTGTTGAAAACAATTTCCAAGAAATTACCTCACCTAGCTCAGGTAATTGCTTCAGATTTGTTTTGTATCATCATTTGAATTCAGTTTGATGGTCATTGCACTTGTTTGTAGCATAACTTTTCACAACTTCTATAATTAGAATCATTATACCCGCCTCATGCTTCCACCACCATCATTAATATCATCATCATCTGATATTTTATTATCATGTGCAGTGATGAACCCCCATGCAATCAGAGGTTTCAAGAGCAGAGGAGCTGAATCATCGAAGTTTCTCAGCAATTTGGATCAGATCAAATTGCCCGGTCTTCACCCTTCTATGTCGATTGAAGATTTGGTCGACCACATCGGACACTGCATTACAGAACAGATGGGATCTGAAAACTCCAGCTTCGCAAGTGATAGGGCAAAGTTGGTGGAATTCACAAAATATTTATTCACCGACTCTCAAATCCAACCTGCCTCTGATGAACAGAATGTCATGTCAAAGGTGAACTCCTTCTACAACCTTCTTCAGAAAGACCCTTCTACAGCGGAAAACAAAACCGTTAGAAACAGTAACATTTTCTATCTTGCTGAAGATAGACAAGTTAATCCTGCTGAATCCAAAAGTAAAATAGTTGAATTTGAAATTCAGCAAGATGAGGATGATGCTGATGATTCTGGTAGTCAGCAAGAAAATGGTTTATCCAGGAAGGAATCAGCTGGAGAGTTACTTCTTAATCTTCCAAGGATTAATTCAATGCCACATTTTCTATTTCCTATGCCTGAGGAATCTGGTAGTCATGTTAGATAGTGATTTTCTGATTCAAGCTTGGAACTTGGAAGTATCACAAAACAGACCTCTTTGTGTAGTTTTCTACAGTGTGAATATTTTATTTTATGTGCATTATGGTTTTACTTGAACTCAATGGGATTCAGAGATTTTCATTGATGAAGAATCCCAACAGAGATCTTTATAGTTATCAATCAAAAATAAGACAAAAACAAATGTTGATCGCGTGTTTGAGAGTGACAACACCTTGTTGGCATCTCTAAGGACCCGTTGAGTTCTATTGGTTATTGGTTACTGATTTTATTTTCATTGCAAATCATGAAAACATTAAAGAATGCATTATACAATTTTTTTAGAATACATTTTGGAAGATGGATGTAGTAATTTTATAAATTTATAAATGTCAAATTAATTTGTAGTATTTCAACTAAAAGCATTTATCTATTTAGTCGACTATTATCACTTATTTAAACACACCACCTCTCTAATCACCATCTCCATATCACTTGACCTATGAAGGATCACTAGTATTCAAAGTATACTACACTGATCACCTGTCCACCATACTCTAACCATTGTCGATTATCATTTCATCCATTTTTCGACTATTAATTTGACCACTAATTCACAATTGACTGCTGCTGAGATCTCTGAAAATAAATTGACTACTAAATTGTGATGAAAGATCCCTACTGCCCGAACTATAGCTAAGAGCTTGAATCAAGATCGATCACTATTTCAACTAGCAGCAATTGACAACCACTATTTTAAACCAAAATTACTACTATATAAATATTTTATGTATTTATAATATATAACTCAACTATCACTCATGAATTTTTAAACCAAAAGCTTCAAATGTAATCCGCAAATTTATCCATTATCAACTATGTATCAGCTACCTCCTATAAATTCACCTTCTATCAAATACCTTAACAATTATCTGTTTATTTATCATCTAGAGCCATTCAACCTACTACAAAAAAACAAAATTTTCCTACTGTATACCAAAATACCAAAATGTGTTCAGCATTTCATTTTTACTATAAGGTGTAATCTGGTTTCTGATAAAAAATAAATAAATAACACTTTGCTTCTGTGTTTGAGATAAACAATTATGTTCAGTACTGTTTGATTATCCCCATATTAATATTACTACACTATATGCATTCTAATAACATAAGTTGGAGAAAATCTACATATGAATATAACAATCACGAGCATGCACATATTGATCGTATAAAACAATGCATCTTCAAGGTTCATCTTGGCCTTCACCTCCCATTTCTTGCCCTTCATCTGCCATTTGCTCAGTTTCTTGTATCATGTTCATAAGCATGTTCACTTGTTCTTGAAGCATATTGTTTTCTCTTTCGAGGCGAGAGCGTTTGCTTCGTTCATCCACGAGTTGCACTTGCAAATGTTCAAGACATCGCGAATCCTCCTCTAGTTGTTCGTTTAGTCCATCTATTTCTCTGTCCTGTAACAAAAATCATCAAATGCATTAGCATTGTTTGAAATTCATGCGAGTCTCAACAAATTCAACTAACATAGCAATATGTCGAAATTCATGCGAGTCTCAACAAATTCAACTAACATAGCAATATGTTGAAAAGAGACGGTTATATTGTGTTATTAGTACTCTTGGAGGAGGAGGAAACTTGGAATATAACCTTTCTGTTCATTTCTTGGACGGCGATTCTGCGCATCTTTTCAACAACATCAACATTGACAAGCTTTCGTTTCTTTCCGATCAGCCACCCCTTTGGATAGTTTGCGGACTCAAAGTCAGGGGGAGGAAGCAAAGACTCAGCAGAGGGTCGTCGGCCATTGATGTTCTTTATAGGTTCTAATGGTTCAAACAAGGCCTTTCGACGTTCGGAAAGCTCAGAAACATCAGTTGTGTCAAGCATCTCCACATTAGGAGATGGATCTTCTGGCTTTCCGGGTGGCGTTGTAGCATTATCTTCAGATGATACCTCTAAATCCCTCCTGCTAGCTGCGGTGAACAAGTTACCATTCTTTTTGATACTCATTTAGAGATAGTAAAACTTTGTAATGCAAATGCAAGATAATATAGTATAGTACATACATACAAGGAAAACAACATTTTCAACAAATATTTGCATCCATAATCAAATGGTTGAGTCCATCTAGTAAATAAACTTTAGAATGGAAAGAAAATATCCAAGATCGACCTCTCAACCTCTCAATGAAACAATCTTTGACTCGACTTTACTCGAGAGGGTAATGTAAATGTTCACATGGTTAGATGAATAATAAAGAAAAGTGATATCAAAATTGAAAAGAGACATATGCAAGAAACCAAAAATAGAGGCTACAATAAAAAGGGTTAGTTGGAGGTGTAGGTCAGGGTTAGTTGTCCAATAACTCAACACAGGATAAGATAATGTCTAAACTATCACAACAGCCACATGCTTTAATACATAATCAATATTCATGATCACAACAGCCACATGCTTTAATACATAATCAATATTCATGATCACAAAACTAACAATCTTGTTAAGACTATCAATTTTTATTTATAGAAGAATGGTCTGGTGGTTGAGGTGAGAGACTTAAGAAGCTGAGTGATAAGAAAACTGGCAGCTCATTGTGAGTTACTAAGTAATTTGGAGTATATTGTTTGATAAGCCAATCATAACAAATAAAGCAGCGTAACGTACAAGTCACACCAACTGTTAACTACTGTTTTACGCTTCTCTCTCTAGCATAACAATTTTGCAGAAATTACACAAATCAATCCCAGCAAACAAAACAAGTTTTCAAAATTGTACAAGTTCACAAACACAAAATTTGCAAGAAGAATTTCCAGTTAGCCTGTAAAATTTTACAAAAAAAGCACCAATAAAAACTTCAATAACACCCCCAAATACTGTTTTTTTTCTTCCAATTATATGGTAGGGTTAGTGAGAGGAAATATTGAAAAAAACCATAAAAGACAAAATAAAAAAGTGATTCACAAATTGTTATTTATTATTAAGTATTTGCACTATTAGTTAACATTATATAGAAATAGCAAAATATGAAACACAAATTGAACTATTTCTCACAATTTAAGCTAATGAATTTGAAGTTGAAGAAGAAACATATAAGGTACCTGATCTTCTTCTAGATTTCCAAGAAATCTTAGGAGTTGAAACAGGAGAGAATCCATGCAAAACATCATCCATGACCATAGTTGCTTCAAAATTCAGCTCCAAAATGAAGACATCAAGAATAAAGAAGTGTTGTTTGGTTTTATTTTTTCTTGTTGTTTACAACAACCTTACAAAGAAGATGCTGAAAATTGTAATGGTCGATGTCATTGGACCGTGATTTTCAGATTTAAGGATTTTCAACGGTCCAGAATTTTTTACTTGGGTGGAAATTTTTATGTCAGACACTGGTTTTTGTCTTTATTTTATGTTCTAATCTTCGCGTGGACCCCGTCTCTAACTCCTTCCTTCCTTGTCTATTTTATTTTTGATAAAAAAATTAATTTCTATGCTTAGAAATAATCTTTGAGAAATTATACAGAGAAGAGGAAATATTTAATGAGCACGTGTTAGGTAGCATATGCTTTGGGGAGATTCCATCTCCAGTAAAGAGACATTAACATACCAACTCCTATTTTATACATGTTAACCTCTCAAGTTTTAATATTATCAGAATATTTCTTTCACTATTTATTTTAAATTTTTTATTTTTGTCAAAAAAATTTATTATTGGTCATAATTTTGGAAATTTCCGGTATTTTTAATAAATTTTCGATATCAATTTTTGTCGTATACTCGAAATTCTTTACATTCTATACATTTTTGATAGTGATATACCGGAAACTTTGAAGTTTCCGGTTGCGATTTACCGTAAATTTTATAATTTCCGGTAAATTTTACACAAGTTCTACAAGTATCGGAAATTTAGTAAATTTCTGATAGAAAACCTTTATCGAAAATTTCAAATTTTCGGTGTATCAGAAATTTCAGTTAAATTTGAAATTTCTGATATGTCTGCAGATGAAGTTTTATATCTTTGCGATTCTAAATCGGCAGTTTCAACTTCTTCTACGAATTCATGTATTGATCTTACGCAGTTCTTCATTACAGATACCATATGTTTTCTATACCATTTACACAATTACGATTTTTTTATTTATGAATTGATGAAAGGAGTGTAGGGTAGGGATAAATGGATGTTGATTTCTGATATGTGTTATCCTATTGTTTCTAAATATAGTGTTGTATTTGTTTTCCATTCCATGAGACTTAACATAATATTTTCCCCACTTCTCATAGTTTCACCTCCGCACACGAGTCGGCATACTATCATTGCTGTCGATTTTGTCGATGAATATCATTGAGTTCAGGTAAAGTTGAAATCCGATTGTCCACTGCCTCCCGTCACTAAGAAATGGAGGGAGAATTGTTCTAATGATGCAAAAGCATGAGAATCAGCATATGCAGATCACTTCAGGCATTGAGAAGAATTGTCTAGGCTGTGATTATAGTTTTTTTAATGCAACTATGTATGACAATTATTCTATTTATATATTTAGTCGATTCACTATTTTACAATATATTTTATACAAGTAATAGTTTAAAAAAAAACAAAACAAAAATTTTAAGTCCCAGTATTACCCAAAATTTGGAATTTCCAGTATTTTTTACCCACAGGAAATTTCAAATTACCAGTTTGTATTTAGAATAAAAAAAATACCGAAAAATTTAAAATTTCCGGTATTTTTCATACATCGGAAATTTCAAAATTTTGGTTTATTATTTTAATGATGGAAAATACCGGAAATTTAGAATATCCGGTACTGAAAATTTCAAATTTCTAATAACAACTAAATCACACGGTAAAAATTTAGAAATTTAATAAATTTTTCGGTATTTACGGGGTGACATGTTAATTTCTCCCAAAACATATGAATTTTTATGACTTATGATCTAAAAGAGAGATATCTTCTATTATCTACACCTCATCAATGTTAGAAATCACATGTTTTGTTAGAAAATGGACAAACACAAACATAATCTCATTTCTTTTGGTGCGACTCAAATAAGGTCTATAATGGATGGTGTTAGCCCCTTTTATAAATTGAGAATTTCTTTGTACACTTCTACGGGATAGGAAAAAATCTCTGAAAACTCAAAAATATAATTCGGAAGTTTATTTTCAAATGCACCATAAGTCAAGTTGTTTCAGAGATACATATCCGAAAGCACTCAATATCAAATTTTGGGGTCAATTCGAAAATGCACTTTCGAAAATACCCTGTTTCTAGTTAAACGTTATTTTTAAACATTCAGGTATATTTTCGGAGATGTATTTTCGAAAGTTGTGGCATGAACTATTTCATTGTGTTCATTAGCTTCTCACTAGCAAAACCCTCACCAAAAACTCAATCCATTTTCGGCCTCTAAAATAAGTTGATGCAATTTAAGGTAAACATTCCTCATTTCATATCTCAATTTCTTGCATTGTTGCTGATTTTTGAGATCAAAACTGCATCACTTCAGAAATATATTTCCGATACCCACCTAACATATTTCGGAAATGTAGTTCCGAAACTACCCCTGTTACAGAAACAAAATTATTAACAATTTATATATTTTTGTCCGTGTTAGATATGGTGCACCCCGACATGTTTCTCAAGGATGTTTCAGACAACGTGAATAATGATGCTAATCCGAATGAGGTGAAAAAGGACGTTAAATCAATTGTTGTCGACATATACATTGGACACCAATTTGCAAATGATCAAGTTTTCAATAATCAACAACATTTGCTTGACTGTGTTCGAATGAAAGCTAGCAAAATCGACTTTGGTGTTGTGATTGGAAGGTCCAACAATGATACTAGTAGAAGGAAAGCATTTGTAACCATGAGATGTGAGAGAAGTGGAAAATATGTTCCAAACATTCGGAATTTAAAACATGATGACACTGGATTGAGAAAATGTGAGTGTCTGTTCAAATTGCGAGAATCATGTAGGGTAAATGATACATGACAATTTTCTGTCATTTTTGGTAAACATAATCATGCGTTGGACACCAAGCTATAAGGCCATCGAATTGTAGGTCGACTTAAGTCAGAGGAGAAGGAAATTATTTCAGAAATATCGATAATCAAAGTTACACCGAGAAACATACTTGTAGATTTGAAACGGAAACGACCACAAAATATTTCAAATATCAAGCAGGTATACAATGAACGTTATAAACAACTTATTGCAAGTAGAGGTTCGAGGTTCGACATGCAACAATTGTTGAAAATCTTGGACGATAACCACTATATTTCAAGGTATAAATTGTGTGAAGATAAAGTTAGTGTCTGTAACATTTTTTGGACTCATTCGGAAAGTATCAAGTTGTTCAACACATTTCCGACCGTCCTTATAATTGATTCAATGTACAAGACCAACAAGTATATGCTTCTGCTTCTAGAAATTATTGGTGTCACTTCTATGGATAAGACTTTTTGGTTGGATTTGCATTCCTCGAACGTGAGAAATAAGACAACACGCGGAAAATCGCCTAAAGAAGATGACACTATGAGATTGCACATTAAAGAACAACTGAGGGAAATCGGCTATCCTGAAACCACCGATATGAAACCTTATTAACAACTGATAAAAACAACAGGTGCACCGAAAAAGTGTAAAAGTACACAATAATGTTATTAAACCTTTTTTTGTATGTATTGTCGTGCATAATGTAATCGAGTCATTTTGGAATGTATCTACACGATTCAATACATATATAAAATATCTATTCAATATTTTACCTATTTATACATTTTACCGATTTATACATTTTACCAATTAAATTATGAATATATCTTTGAGTGGTATTGATTCTACCAACTTATAATCCCATCTCTGCATAATTCAGAAATGCGTTTTCGAATTATTTAAAAAAAACAATCAGGGAGTGATTCAGAGTTGTAGTTCTGAAAACATCTTATTTTTGATAAAATATAAGGGGTTATTTTAGAAGTGTATTTCTGAAACATGTCCTGACACAAGATAAGAATTCTTAGGACTAAATCGCACCAAAAATTATATAAATAGGGTCTCTAAACCTATTATTCAACATCATACACCATAAAACAAATATCACACACCACAAATCAGATATGACACAAACATATCCCCACCTTTCTTTTGTCTACTTCAACAGTGCGATGCCGCCACTTTAATTTAGGTTCTGCGAGGATACGCCTCTTGCCGATCTTATTACCATACTCAACTCTCTCTTGCAATATCCAGAAAATCGGAGGATAGTCAAGATCGAATATCGTTCACCATCACTTGTCACTGATAGAAATTTCAAGTTCACCAAGTTTAAGCTGAAGACGGATGGCGATTTACAGGTTATGGGGAGTACTTTTCGCTAATACTCTACTAAAGGTCTGATTGAATTGGATGCAAAAATTCAGAGATCCACTAAAGATGTTATCAAAATGTTGCGATGTTCTCAATTACCCGTTTATAACAATATGTAATATTAAATTTATGCTTCAATATCTATGTAATTTCGAATTTCAATGTTTAATTTATGTTATTGTTTAATCTATGTAATATCAATGTTTCAGCATTTATGTTATATCTATGTTTTAAGGTTTCTGTTTTGTTTTCTCTTTGTTTCAATGTTTCAATGTTTCTGTTTTTCATATTAGTCAGTATTTATTTCAGAAAAGTACTTCCGAAATTGTTGATTAGGTATCTTCGAAAATACATCTTCTCTGAATTTACCCAATAAAAGGATATTACATAACTTCAAAAATACATCTTCGAAATTATCCCATAAAAATGAAATATGATGCGTTTGAAGATACATCTTCGAATTCTGAAAGTACAAAAGAAATTTTGACAGAGGTGACTAAGAAGGTGTAACGATGTACACAAATTTCCTTTATAAATAATGTTTATAAGCCCCAAATTTCATGAAAGAAAATATGTATCTTTGAGCATTCATCAACTTTTACTCTAGAATGAAGTACTACTATATATATATATATATATATATATATATATATATATATATATATATATATATATATATATATATATATATATATATATATATATATATATATATATATATATATATATATATATATATATATATATATATATATATATATATATATATATATATATATATATATATATATATATATATATATATAT